CAACACAACCGAAATCAATGGGTTGAAATCAATCTACACAACCAAAATCGAAAAAACCAAAAACCCAAACTTGCAGATCGAAAAGAGAGAGAACTTCACCTTCGCCTTGTCGCGAACGACGCCAATGGGTCGCCAACGTCGAAGAGAGAGTGGGCAGAGACGGGCTAAACCATAGCAGCATTGCGAAGAATGGGTCACGACGCTGCGTTCACAGAAGAGTCGCATATCCTTCGTGGGCATCGACAAGATAGAATCAGCGTCCAGAGGGAAGGAAGAGAGGGGATGGATTGGAAGAAGAGGGAAGAAATTGAAATTGTAGCAGTGGAGGTGTTACTGTATTGAAAATGGCCATTTCCCGTGTTTTGCATTTTTTCCCTGTTTTTGTTTGAAAACTGCCAAAACGGTGTTTTTATCGTTTTGTGTACAAATTTTTTATTGTTTTCAAAAAAGCGTTTTCAAAAATAGGAAAGAGAACATGTTTTCATTGTTTTGGAAAATCGAAATCAACAAACGACCCAAAATGGCCTAAGAGAACGACCCCTTACTAATTTGTAATAAAATATGAATTGATACCAAGTTCATGTAATCATGTTGGCCAATGTTGGTCCCAATAAAAAAATACCAATATGTTTGCAGAAAAGTAAATCGCAGAAATCAAAGTATCAACACAGAGACTTTTCACTCACAAACAGGTCCGGATATTCACGTGCTCTAAACGCTATTCATCTGTTGAACATCTACAAGTAGATTCACCGTTTGTGCTTTCGTCTCACATTTAAATTCACCACAGTAAACCATGCTCAATCTCACCAATTATACGCTAAATACAACACCGAAATCCACTCAAGGTTACAAAGATTGAAACCAGACTGAGAACATGAAGAGCCAGAGAGAAAACCCTAACGAATGCACAGACACTCACTCACTTCAACCCTTTGAAGATGTTTTAGGAGTGCAATTTATATGACACTTAATATCACAGATTCAATGCTCCATAAATGCACCATGTGTAAGATCATATTTCATCAACACCATAATACTAAATGAGTGTTTTGATAATGCACCATTACAAGTAAAGAGGGCAACTCGGATCATTCCAATTCGAGCCGAAGTCCAACAACCCAATAACAAAATAGTGAGGCAGCCCAAATGATTTAAAAGCTTCGCTGAAAGCATATTTAGCTTAGGGATGGCAAAAAAATCCGTTTAACTCGATGCCCGTTGGGGTCCCTCCCCGAATGGGGCAGGGATTACCCACCTAACCGGGTAAACGGAGTGGGGACTGGACGAGGTTCATTGCCCCGAAGCGAGTATGGGACGGGTACAGGAAACATAATCCCCGCCCCGCTACCCACCTCGTTTAAAGTTAATTTCAAATTTAAGTTCTTTATCAAACAAAAATAATATATTTATCATCATTTTTTAAGAGAACATAAGTTGTTTTTAATAAATTGGTAAAAAAGTAATAATATTTACTAACTAAAGATATAAAAAAGTTAAAAGTAAAAAATAAAATAAATAAAAAATAAAAAGAAAAAATAAATGGGGTATAAAACTTGCCCCGCCCCAATCCGAT